ACGGAGGCGGAAAGGGATCTTGGTGTCCTTACTGACTCCAAGATGAACATGGGCCGACAATGCGAGGTCATGGTTGGCAGGGCTAACCGGACCTTGTCGTGCATCCACAGGTGCATCTCGAGTAGAGCCAGGGAGGTGATCCTCCCCCTCTATGCGACGCTGGTCAGGCCGCAGCTGGAGTATTGTGTCCAGTTCTGTGCGCCCCATTTCAGGAGGGATGTGGACAACATGGAGAGGGTCCAGAGGAGGGCCACCCGCATGATCCGGGGACAACAGGGCAGACCCTACAGTGAGAGACTGCGGGACCTGAACCTATTCAGCCTCCACAAGAGAAGGCTGAGGGGGGACCTGGTGACCGTCTATAAACTCACTAGGGGGAACCAGAAGGGTTTGGGGGAGACGCTGTTTCCCCTAGCCCCTGCTGGCATAACAAGGAGTAATGGGCACAAGTTGATGGAGAGGAGGTACAGATTGGACATCCGAAAAAACTACTTCACAGTTAGGGCGGCTAGGAGCTGGAACCAACTTCCAAGGGAGGTGGTGCTGGCCCCTACCCTGGGGATCTTTAAGAAGAGGCTGGATACCTACCTGGCTGGACTCATTTAAGTCCCGTTTTTTGTTTAGGGTTCTTTTGTTGTTCTCCCGCCCTGGCGGGGGGTCGGGCTAGAAGATCTATTAGGTCCCTTCCGACCCTAAAACTATGAAACTATGAAACACCTATATATTCTATTCTATTCTATCCTATTCTATCCTATTCCAGTTGCAATGTAACAGTTTGCAATCAAGGCTGTTGAATCTGAATGCATATATGGTTGGTATTATGAATTAGTATAGCTAGTCTGGGGATCGGTTCTGTCAGCTGCCAGGGGAAGGAGCTCCTGCAGAGAAGAACTGCTCAGAAACGCTGTGGCTGCCACATATGCTGCTTACAGAACTAGTGGGGCTCCAGGAGCTCATCAAGTACCCTGGGCTGCGAAGCACTCAATGCTCAGGGAGAAGTTTGTCTCTTTTAAAGAGACAGAGTGTACCCTGCACTGTTTATATTATGTTATAGCCCAGGGGCTCATATTTTTGTTGTTGTTTGTACACTGGTGGACTGGGATGTGGCTAATTGGGGAACAGGAGGCCTCATTGTGGCACACTACCATGTAGAGCCCCAGTACCAGAGAGGGCACAGAGACAGGCTGGCAGAGAGTAGCATCAGAGAGGGCCCAGTGACTACAAGAGGCTGAGCTAGACTGAGGCCTCATAAAATGGGACAACATTTAAATACCACCTTCAAGGCATGGGGCGTGGTAAAGGGCAGGTTTTGGAACCACACATCTAGCCCATAAGGCTGGGGTGTCTCGTGAGACACCTGCTCAGAGTGGGATCCAGCAAGCAGTCTAAGAACCCACATGATTCAGTAGGGTCTTTCAGGACCATGACTGTGCAGCAACTTGAGGGCAGCCTCCCTATCTATTATCTTAACCAACAAGATATGGCAGACAAGACTAGAAGGCACCTGCAGGGCAAAGCTGGCATGGTCATGGAGCCCTAAGGGCATCACAACCACCCCTGGGGACCCCGCACCGTGAAAAATGTATAAATATCGCAAATAATATGCTTAGAACTTGCTGAAGAGATCAAAGTATCCTTGCATGATAAAATCCTCTCATTTTCTTCATAAACCCAACTTATGAACTGCAGGTTTATTAGGCCTCTTAAGCCAAACGTATACCTGCAGTTCTGAAAAAAGTATTACAAGATTATTTTATAAAATTAAATTATTACGACATGAAAGCCAGTCAAGTGCTTGACAACAAATAGGCAGACAAGGTTCTTTGGGTGAATCTGATATCTTTTATTAGGCCAACTTAAATAGTTGGGGGAAAAAAATTTAAGCAAGATTTCGAGTTCAAAAACCCTTTGTCGTCAGGCTAAGGAAGTTTCAGCAATTGGTGTGTGGCTCTTCCTGGATGGAATGAAAAGTAATGCATACAAGATAGGCAGTCAGTGAAGATGTAGACTGAGGAGTCAATGGGTGAGAGAGAGGCTGGGTTGGGGGAAGAGAAGGGGGATGAATAGTGGAGAGGTACCTGGGGAATCAGATGTCAGGTAGGTTATAATGTGTCATAAATCCAATATCTGTATTTAGTTCATGATTTTTTGTATCCAGGAGGTTGATGAAGTGGAGTTCATAGGCTCGTCTCTGGGAAGTGTTGTGTAAGTTTCCTTTGAGGGTCAGGACTGAGAGATTGGAGAGAGAGTGGTTTTCTTGTGCGAGAGGTGCCCCCACAGGTAACTGGGTATTCCTGTCTTTGATAGATTTCTGGTGTGCGTTCATTCTGGTGCGCAGTTGTTGTTTGGTCTCTCCTACGTATTTTCCATCAGGGCATTTGGTGCATTGGATGAGATATATTATATTTCTGGAGGTGCAGCTGTAAGATGCAGGAATGTTGATGTCTCTGTTGTGGGGTGTAGGAGTTGTGGGGGAGGTGGAGATGTGTTGGCAGGTTTTGCATTTCTTATCATCGCATGGTCTGGATTCATTTGGTGTGTTCTGGGCCTGAGGAAGTTTGCTTCTGGTGATGAGGTTAGCGAGGTTTGGTGCTTGTTTGAAGGCTAGGATGGGTGGCTCTGGGAAGATCTCTTTAAGAATAGGGTCTCTTTCTAGTATGAGTTGCAATTGTTTGAGGATTTTCCGTATGGGTTCGAGGGAGGGGTGATATGTCATAACCAGCGGTGTCCAATTTGTGGGGGGTTTTCTTCTGTACTGCAGCAATTCTTCACGTGGTATCCAGGTGGCTCTTTTGAATCTCACTAACCTCATCACCAGAAGCAAACTTCCTCAGGCCCAGAACACACCACCTCCAGAAATGTATTATATCTCATCCAATGCACCAAATGCCCTGATGGAAAATATGTAGAAGAGCAAACAACAACTGCGCACCAGAATGAACGTGCACCAGAAATCTATCAAAGACAAGAACACCCAGTTACCTGTGGGGGCACATTTCTCACAAGAAAACCACTCTCTCTTCAATCTCTCAGTCCTGAACCTCAAAGAAAACTTACACACCACTTCCCAGAGACAAGTCTATGAACTACACTTCATCAACCTCCTGGATACTAAAAATCATGGACTAAATATAGACATTGGATTTATGACACATTATAACCTGCCTGACATCTGATTCCCCAGGTACTTCTCCCCTATTCATCTCCCTTCTCTCCTCCCCACTCCAGCCTGTCTCTCACCCATTGACTCCTCAATCTACATCTTCACTGACTGCCTATCTTGCATGCATACCAGCCCCGCCTCTGGCTTCTTTATTTTTCATTCCATCCAGGAAGAGCGCACACCAACTGCTGAAACTTCGTCAGCCAGACGAAGGGTTTTTGAACCCGAAAGCTTGCTTAAATTTTTTTCCCCCAACTATTTAAGTTGGTCTAATAAAAGATATCAGATTCACCCAAAGAACCTTGTCTGCCTATGTCCTTAGACTAACACGGCTACAACCTACACCCCTGTAACACAGAAGACAACAAATACATTTTTCTGAGCAAAGCAGGCTACTTGTGAAAATGTATGGCTTTGTCCCAGCCCCAAACATATACCATATGTGCTAGTTGAAGAGCAGGGAGTTTATGAACTTCTGTTTGAGTTCTGCTTTAGATGCCTTTCAGTGGGTGCATCCACACATGCCCCCCCCCAGTGCAGTTGTTACTGTGCCTTTATTCAGTACTTGCTTTAGGAAGTACCGAATGATGGCACAGTAACAGCCGTTACATCCTGGCGACGCACAGTTATTTTTAGCAGCTATGTAGCCGTAGCAATGCACTATAGCAAGGTAGCTTGTCACTACAGCGAAGTAGCGTCAGCATCACGGTTTGTGCCCACCAATGCTATGTTGCTGTAGTGTCACATGTAGCATCCCAGCATGTACTGATTTCAGAACAGCACTATTATTTATTCATACAGATAATGCATTTGCTTTTGTTCTATTTAGATGGTGACTATTGTGCTATATGATAGAGAAATATGAAAACATAAAAAAAGAAGTGAAAAAAAAATCTTGTTAGAATATTTTTGCTCTTAAAAACGAGGCTGACACTTCCTATAACAATATTGGGGAGTAAACAATAGTTTTTGCGTGAAACTGCAAGTAGAAACTGTTCACTAACATATTTTATATTATACAGAAAACTAACATACAATTAAATAAATTGCTTCAATAGATTAATTGGTATCTAACAACTGAATCTTGTCCTATTAAAATTATGGCATGGTTAATGGCTATAATATGATTTAAAAAGATAAAAGTTCGGAGTCGCATTTTTTGCCCTCAAATATTTGCAAACATGAGTCTGATTTTGATCGTCTTACAGACACCTCGCCTTTTGTTCATGATGCCATGGATCAGTTTTCCTCTCCTGCTTATCATCATAATATCCCTATGGCAACACAAGGGATAGTAATCATCATATAATATCTGCCCTTCGTGGCTAAGTAATACAGAGAAGTTATTAGTGTGCTCTTTGTTTATTTTTGTGCAATTTAGCCACAAGGAAAGGAATTGGCACCATTTGACCAGCCAGCTTTATGCAGATTGCAAACAAGTCCTCCAGATACTACTGTGAAAGACTTGCTGGTTTAATAGTCAATTCACAGGATTAGGCACCAGAAACTCCTGGGTTCAATCAGTTATTTGAAAACAGTTTCCACTGACTTCAGCAAGGACTGTATACATGTAGCTGAGGTCATGATATGACCCTCCCAAATTCTGATTCTGGCACTTTCTGCAATGGAGAAATCTCTACTTCATGCAGCTATTTAAAATCATTTCCAGTGTCTATTGCTTGCTTTGCCCTTGAACAGCACTGGCAAATGGAGGGTCTCAATTTTTTGCATGCATATATTTATAGTACCAAGCTCACTTCTTAGAGGCAAAGGTTCTGGGAAGTAGGCTGCAGCACTTATAACATGATTGTAATTTTAAAGTGGGTAGAAGCGATACCTTTAGTTCAGGCATGTTTATTATAAGCTGCATAGGGAGTTTAACATCTGGATCCTTGGTATAGTCCATGGGCACAACGTTTGGTGCCATTTCATGGTATCGGCCATGCAACCTGCAAACAAGCACAAAAAAAACCCTTTAAGTAACTAATTCTACTCACACAGTAAGTGAATTCATAATGTGTCTGTCTGTCTGCTCTAGTTCTCTTTTGTTTTGATTACAACAGCCATTTGTTTGTACCCACCAAACATTGCTCCTTTTAAAGATACTGGGCTTGACTATCACCAATGTCCATGTATAAATTAGATTGATCAGAATACAGAACGTAAGTGTTCACAGGTGTCAGTACACAATCATATAGGTACAGTACTGGTGCATCCATGGGTGGGTCAGGCCCAATTGGCAAAGGTGGCCCAGGGGCTATTTTTCAGTAAAAGCAAAGTGCAGCCACACAAGAACTGCATCACCTATTAAGCCAGTGACATGGCTCAAAGGTATTCAAAAGCCAAAGGATACATGACTGTACTGCTGCTCACCACAGTAAACAGAAACAGCAGTGTCATGCCTGCATAAATCAAGCCCCTTTCCTACTGTACTTCACTCATTCAGGAGATTTAAACCCATTTCTATTCTTTACTATTCACCTGTGGTCTGATCCCACACACCCTAACAAATAGGTAAGTCCATTAAGTTTAATAGCACTATACCTAAGTAATGGCTAATCTTATGGAGCAAAGAGAGCTTTTCTCTTTGCAGAATTTGGCCTTTGGTGTGAACTGGTATCAATGGGCCAAAAGGGAAAGGGTACATTCCAATACCAATTCCCTATGTCATACTCCTTAAAATGATTTTAAACAGCTACTTGTGCCAAAATAGTGTACGTGTATGAGTATGCATTTCTTGTTGGTACTCACAAATACCCATTCCTGCCTTGGCTCATGAAGCCCTACATAGGGCAGTTGGACCACCAAAAAACCCCCACATTTCAAATACTGCCTGAACAGGTGCTGCACAACTGTGAAGTGCACCTTTGTCCACTTCAAGGTGCTCTGGTGGGCTCTCAGTGTGCACCGTGAGGTAGAGGAGAATGTGCTGTGCTTCATCATCACTGCATATATCCTCCACAACATCTGTAAGACTGGGGGGAGGTCTTCCACAAAGACTGGGCAGAGGAGGTGTGGCACACAGACCAGGCATAGCACTCCTAGCATGCATGGAGGCTGGCAGAAGCAAGCCCCCAGAGGCTGTGTCCCTGGCCCACAAACCATTAGGTATTCCGGGTCTATGAAGGCCTAGCCAACTACCTCCTTGCCTGTGGAGACCAGGTGCACTCCCTAGATGAGTAGGGCTAGAGGGCTTCAAGTCCCCAAGTGCCCACACCCTGGCACTAAGTGATGGATCTCCTTCCCCACGCTCCTGCGGCCCTTCATCCCTGGTGAGGCTGGCCACAACCCTGACTGGCTGGACACCTTTCCCCACTGCCTCTCCTGATGGGTATGCACTAGGATGCAGGGAAATGGCACACAAGGAAGAGACAAGCCTCCATTTACAATGTTGCACTTGCCAAACTTTTCGTATTTTTATTAAAGAAAACCTGTTGAATGTTGCCCGTGTCAGAACTTGGTTCTTCTTCCCATCGATGCAAACCAGCAAACCTTTGGAGGGGGAGGGGTAGTGTGGGGGCAGTGGAAGCTTGGGAAAAGGGTGAATTAACTTGGAGGGGCAGTTAGAGTTGGGAATGGGGCAGGGGTTGGGGGCAGGGGGAAAGCTGCAGGGGCAGAACCCAACACAGAAACTTGGAAGAGAGGGTGGAGAACGGGGCTTTAAACCTGGCACATTCATTCCAAGATTCAGGAGTGAAGACTAGGGTCTTATACAAGTAGGAGCTAGACAGATGGGTGATCCTGGACCCACTGTCCACCTGAAAGGGCTGTGGGAGGAGGAGGGAGTGAGACAAGAGGCATCACCACAGCAGGGACTGGCAGACCCCCACATCCTCACCCCTAGCCCCCAAGGCCCAATCTCCCTCTGTGGGGACCTCAAACTCATGACCCTCATGACCTCAAACTTTCCAGGGGCTTCCAGCTTCCACCTGAGCATGGGCCAAGTGCTAGTCCACCTCTCTGCCAAAGAGGGCTGGGACAAGGGCACAAAGCACTTGGGGATGCTGGAGGACAGAGATGTAACTGTAATCATTAGGAGTACAATACAGATGTTCAGTAGTTTGGTCTAACCTGAATTGGACACAATTTAGTGTGCCTCAGACGTGATATATTCTAGGTTGCTTGCACCATTTTTACACTGGTTTATGTGCCGTGAATGTCAAGTTTCAGGTTTAGAGATCGATCTACATTCACTTAGATCATGTGCGAGATAGATGGTAACTATATTGTTATTGTGCTATAATGTTTGTTTGAAGCTTCTTTTAAAAAAGAGAAACATAGGGGTGCTCATTGGCAGGGGATGGTGGAGAAGAGAAGCAGCTGGAACCTTAACTAAGGTCTTTTAATTTTTTTTATGCTACCTGTTACTTTTGCTTAGGACAAAGTTTCAATCTCTTTGTATGGGTGCAACATCTGTACCAAAAAAAACATTCTCCAAAAGTAAAACAAGGATTTTTCCTG